GGGGGCAGGGAGACGGGGAGCAAAGCCTTGGAGCATGCCTGCAGCGGGACAGCCCAGGCGCGCCGCGGCTGTCCCACTGCGGGCGGGCTCCGAGGCTTTGCTCCCCATCTCCCTGGTCTGCTGGTCGGGAGACGGGGAGAAAAGCCGCAGAACACGCCCGCAGGGGGACAGCTCAAGCACGCCCGGGCTGTCCCGTTGCGGGCGTGCTCCAAGACTTTGCTCCCCGTCTCCCTGCAGACCAGGGAGATGGGGAGCAGCTTTTCTCGCCCCGGAGGACGGGGGCGGCGGACCGCGGCGCATCTGGGCATCCCACTGCTCCTATCCTCTGGGGCGAGAAAAGCCCTGTTTGTAACTGCCTTAATCCAACTTATGTCGGATCCGCGTAACTCGGGGACTGCCTGTATATACATGCAGGAATGTCCTCCCTTAATGAAGCCTTCCTTATCAGCATCAGAACAGCTACTGAACAAGATTAAACACTTCGGCTGTGTCTAGACTGGACAGTTTTTTCGGAAAAACAGCCACTTTTCCTGTCTACACTGGCCGCTTGCATTTCTGCAAAAGCACTGACTTCCTACTGTAAGAAATCAGTGCTTCTTGCGGAAATACTATTCTGCTCCTGTTCAGGCAAAAGGGCCAGTGTAGACAGCTCAGATTTGTTTTCCGCATAAAAGCCCCGATCACAAAAAATGGCGATCGAGGCTTTTTTGCGGAAAAGCGCGTCTAGATTGTCATGGATGCTTTTCCGCAAAAAGTGCTTTTGCGGAAAAGCTTCCGTGCCAATCTCGATGCTCTGTTCCGAAAAAGCTTTTAACGGAAAACTTTTCCATTAAAAGCATTTCTGGAAAAGCATGCCAATCTAGACGCAGCCTTCCTGTATTCGCTACAGCAGGGGCCAGCAACCTTTCAGAAATGGCGTGTCGAGCGTTAGCTTGTTCACTCCTCTATTTACAGGTTTGCGTACCAGTGATATTTTAAAGTCAATAACAGTCCTTCAGCCCTCTACTGGCTGGGCAAAACAGCTGCCCTGGCCCTGCTGCCTTAGCTGCTGCAGCAGTTGGCACAGCTGGCAC